CCCCAAAACCCCAAAACCCCAAAACCCCAAAACCCCATAACTTGCAGCTAAAATTGATTATATTTTGTCAAGGATTGATAGCTTCGCTTCGAGTGCGTCAATGAGCATATCATTTGCTTTAGTTTCTCCCTCGATATCGTCAGTAATCAAAGCAGTTTTCCTCTTCATCATGGCATTGCTTTCTATAACTTTGGCTTTCTCTCTGACGATTCCTGAATATTCTTTATTGTTATAAGCCATATTTAGCACAGATTTCCAGTCAAGAGCTGGATTAGTAGGTGTTTTGGGGTCATCCATCATGTCATCATACTCCTTGTTGTCTCTTTTAACCCTTCTTTCAAGAAGATAATCAGTTATTATTGGAGTTCTCTTAGGCTGCTCTTTTGGGATCATTGGGTTATGGAACTTCTTCCAATTAATCTTGGCTTGTGACTTGGTATGTCTATGCTTAGCTGACATCTTTTCAGTATCAGTCCCGTGATGAAGGTCTCTAGCAGAAAAACGGCTTTTCTTTAGGCCCTTTTTATACTCAACTGAGTTGCGTAACTTCTTCATTTCTTCTCTCTTCTTAGGGGAGACTTCTGGCCAGTGCATTTGTTTAACCAGTTTGGCATAATCTTCCATCTTCTTTGCTCTCTGTTTAATTTTGAGTTCTTCTGCTTCTTCAGTTTCTTTAACTTCTCTATTTCTTTCGAGTGTTTGTTTAAGTGTCTTTGTGATATATTTATTTGGGATTGTTATTCTAGAAAATGGTTAGCTTGTAGTGCAGGAGTGACAAAGATGAGACTTACCCCTATGCCCCATTCTTTGTATTCTCTCTCCCTCTTAAGACGTTTCTCATCTTGCTTTAATTTTAGAGTTTCTAAGAATTTCTTTTCATGCTCATCTAACTCTTCCCGGTTAATTGGCTTATGGAAATTTCTGAGGTTCTCTAATTGCATTTTCTTCTGTTCAAGGGAGGGAACTACAAATTGGTCGTGGTATTTCTTTTGCAGTTTTTCATGCATATAATCTCTATCAAGGATGACAGGACCTTTTTTGGCTTCTCTTTCCTTCTGATGTTGAAGTCTTTTGTCTTCAGATTCCTTGCACTGTTGGATTACCTTCTCCTTACGCTTCTCTAGCTCCTCAAGCCTCTTCTTCTCTTGCTCTTCTTTGTATTTTTGTTCTAGTAATTGCTGCTTTCTGATTCTGGATTTTCTCTTTTTGGCTATATTTTTCCATTCTTCTTCTTTCTTTTTGATGAATTCTTGGGCTTTTTCATTCATCTTCTTAGCCTCTTCCTCATCTTCAGCTTGTTTTCCAGTCAGAGAGATTAAGTTCTTGACCTTTCTGACGCTGGCAATGCCAACCTGCTCTTCCATCTCGAGTTCGAGGTCCAAGTTCTCAGCTGACATTGTGAGCCTAGATATATGGGTTAGAGAAAAGGAGGAATACCTTGGAATTTCTTTGTTAAGTCTCTCCATTCTTTCTTCAATCTCTTTGTACATAAGAGCGTTATCCTTCATTCCAAGCTTCAGAAGATTTTTGTAAATATCTTGCTTATTTAAAATCAGCTCTAAGCTTCTTGATCTTTGCTAGATATTGCTGAGCCTTTTCCTCCGATTTTTCGAAAATTTGTTCCTAAGAGTTATTGTAAGGTCTTACCTGGTCGTCATACACTTTGCCTTCCTTTAGATTTGTAGAAATTTCATTAACTTTGGCGTCAAGGAGGTGACCAAGATCCTAGAAATTGTTAAAGAGCATAATAAGAGTTATTGGCTACCTCAGAATAATGGAAATTATGCTTTCCCTCTAAATTATGTAACTGTCCACGAAGATGATCGAGCACAATCTCAAAATTTTTCTTTTCTGTTGGTTCTTCAATGACTTCCTTTTTGTTCTTTCTTCTCCTACAAGAAGAGTTAGGTTACTTAAGCATGATGTTTAAAGACAGAATATGGAGAATAAGTACATAATTGTATTTATCTGCTTCAAAGATTAGTTTACTATTTCATTTCCGAGCTTTGAGGGTCGACCATATATCTAGGCCTCAATTCCTTGTCTCATGGTTAGCCAATTGCTTAGACTTACATGGTGGGGATTAATACTGATGTTCTAAATTTAATATATTTTGCAATTTTATTTACATATAAAGGGGTTTTGGGGTTTTGGGGTTTTGGGG